GAGATCAGAGTAAGTGTAAACTCCCTGGACAGCAAGTGCCCCAGCATCCTTCACTGTAGTGACTCAGGCTTAACATAAGGGGAATTATTAGAATATTTAAGTTGCTGTCATCAGGTTTCTGTAACTGATACAGACAACCCCCTGGATTAGGAGCTAAAAGAGGGTCAGGAACAGCAGCAGCTATCTGGGGACTAAAATTCACTTGCTCTCATCACGTATAACCTGCATCTCTCCCCTCCCTGGAGGTGATATGCATGGTTCTGAACCCCTCTCCACCACTCCCCCCCCAGCCCCTGCTTTTGATGTAGCTAATGCAGATGGAAGAGGAAATGAGGAAATTTTCCAGTCTCACTGCTCCAATCCATGAAGCAGCGACACCACTGGAATGACCCAAAGCCCCTTCTCCCCTTCCAGCTTTTGAATTTTAGGAAATCAGCGGGACTGACCTGTGAGCTCAGGGAGGACGGGGGCACTCGGGAGAGGGGTCCGCTCTACACGGAATTCTAAAAACGAAATGTAAGACAACTTAGGACCTTGTAAAACACCCCCTGCAGGGGGGTAACCAGCAGAGACAGCAGCATCAGGCCTTCTGGATACAGCCCCCCAAAGCCAGACAGAGACCAAAGGAGTTGCTGCAGCATCCAGCCTTCACCTATTTTAGTTCATTTAGAACTGGTGAAAGCTGTTGGACTGACAGCCCTGGCAACTCCTAGCAGCTGCTTAATCCACAGCAGGTATAGCCAGAGCAGGGGCAAGTGCAAACTCCCCTTCCACTGCCCCACTTCGCCAATATACTTCACCTCTGCCCTGGAGGGACCATCATTAGGACTGAAAGGGAAATTCAGTTTCTTACGCCGATCCAATCCTCAGCCTCTCCAGGGTTGATCTGTGCCACTGAGTTGGTGGTGGTTTGGGGTCAAGGACAAGTGGATTCAGAAAGACTTCTATACAGCCATGAGGTGGCAACTGTTTTTAGTCACAGCCAACCTGGGCTGGCTTCATACTAGTAGTCTTGAAGTGAAAGATGCCAGGTCACATTCCCAACTCTCTAACCTCAGGCCTTTCTACAAAAACCTTTGGGAACAGGGGTGGAGGGGGTAAGGGGACACTCAGAGTTTCCACTTGTCCTGAGAATAGCAGGCTGCTCTTTTATTAGTGTGATGTGTATCATACTCTTCACTTGAGCTGGAAGGGAAAGGCACAAGAAAACTCAGAGCAGCTGCAGCATCAGATGCCAATCAGTGATGGTCAAGTCTACACATCCAGGTGAGAAGTGGGCAGGTTTATTAATTTAAAAATACCCAATATACCAAAGAAGGATCTGCTGAAGATTTGCAGCCAACTGTCCCCATAGGTGGTTTTGGGGACTGTAAAAGACCCAGGGGACTTATTCAGAATACAGCTCCCAGCATTGTGACTCTTACATTTAAGAGGCCTAAGGATCCCCTGGCCTGTTTACAGCTGGGTGGTGATGTCCTGCTTTCAGGAAGGTGGTGACTCTGCTGGAGACAGGCAGACATACACACGAGGCAGCAAGAGAACCAGAGCTGCAAAGGGCCCTTCTTCATAACAAGACCTAAGGAGGGATCTAGCAGAGGGAGTTGCAGCAACCTTGGGGTTTTCCTGTTACTAGAGTACAGGGATAACAATCAGAAACTTGTACAGCTACAGCCTCCTTCCTATCTAGCTAGCAGGCTGGTCCCTCCCCTTCCCTACCTACTACCCCACCCTCACTCACATCCCTCTCAAATTTAAGGGAAGACCAAACTGCAGCAAGGCTAAAACAGACAGTCTGGGTCATGGGACAAGCCAAGGACTTCCCATAGAGTGAAGGCAAATGGAAGGAACAGGAAGGGAGAGACTCTTACCAGGAAACTGATAAGTGTAGCCAGGTGCAATACCAGTGTAGCTTCGACTGGCGTAAGTGGCAGCTTGGAAACCTGGATAACCTGCCAGCAAAGAGGAGATTATTACAGTGAATACACACAAACCCACTGCTCCAGGCCTTTGCTCTGACCAATATGCACAGTGCAAAAGGACTGATCAGCATCACAATGAGACCTGTCCATGTGCACATAAACACACACAGAGCATATATACCACATGAATCCAAGGAAGAGTTTAATGGAATTTTGTTTAAATTTTTATTACATTTGCTTTTCCTGGCACCAGAGATTTCCATGTCAGAAAGTCCAACCGAAGGTGACCAGAAGCACAAGCTAAGGATATGAAAAGGATGTTAAGGGGTAGTGGGAAGCATCCAAATGACTGAATGGCACTGAGTCACTGACCATCTACTTCAGTAATACTGCTATTGGCTAATGTTCTGAAGTAGATACAGAAGGAACAGGTGGCTGGAAATAGACAGGCAGAGCACTTGTTCTTGGCAGAGATAAGAATTACAATGCTTACCATTTTCTGAGAAGCTGCCACAGCAAACCACCTCCTTTAAACAGCCTCATGAGAAACCCAGAGGCTGACTCAGCTGAAAGTTTTATTTGAAATCTCCCATGACTAGAGTAAATGGATTTCCCACTGACTCACTGGAGTCTACTTGTTTAAAAAGTAGTGTGCCTAAATACAGACAGATACTACAATGGTACTATGGGCCTGCAGATTTAAGGGATCTGCGCTAGACTCTTTCTTGCCCTGGCAAAACCTCCAGTGACCCAGATCCAAATGAGAGGCTTTTTGCTGCTCCTATTAAATACACTATTAACACTGGTCGGATAGGTTATACAACTGCCAGTAATGAGGTTTAGGCAAGAACTGGCTTGACTCTCAGATCCCGGAAAGAATTTGTGGGGCTGGAAGGTGAATGGGGGCAATTCCTTTTTTTTTTTTTTTTTCTCCTTATAACCTCAGCACATTTGCATGGAAGCCACAAACTAACACAAACCCCAGAATACCTCATTTGGCAATTCCATCTTCAGAGATGAGCTCTACTTTAAGCACGTGGTTTTGTTTGCAATGTGAAAGAACACTGGCTTTCACTAAAGCAAGGCTGCTAGTGCAATACGAACTCCACTGGATTTAAAGGACATTTGGATGCCCCTTGAAAACTGGCAAAAATGTTTATTAGGATGATATGCAGAAAAAACACTCAGTCTGCATACTGAAATGACCAGGCTCCCCTCTACCCAACTAATGGAATGTGATTAGTATTGTATTATGTGGGGTTCTTTAAACAAACATTTAAGCTTGCAAGAGTGTATATGCTGTTGGTTTACTACTACAACCCCCCCCCCAAAAAAACAGGAATGCAGTCATTTGTCAAAATTTCTCCCGATGTGCAACTGTATTTCCATCTTTTATAACTCCAGCCCCAGAACTGAGAGTAATGATACATCTATAGCTCTCCCATGCTGCCACCAGAGGGCGATTTGTGATCACAAGAGGTCCCAGCCCTCCTCTTCCCAACTATAGTACCATGGGCCTTACAAAATGTGGTCTGATGTCATTGTTCTGATCTACCCTTGAACAGCTTCAGCCACGTTCCCATCACACTGCACCAGTAACATGGTCCCAGAACAAAAATTGGTGCCCTTTTAGGAGACCTCCTCCCACCAGCTGCTGCCTACTGCTTAGCAGGAGCTACAGAGAAAGAGTCTCTCTTTCAGTGCTTACCCAGCATGCCAATCCCAAGCATGAAGGCATCCATCCCGTAAGGCATCACTCTGGACCGCCCTCTCGCAGAGCCAGTGGGGGACATCACTTCCTTTGGCTGAGCTTTTTTACATTCCACCTGCCACAAGAAAGAAAGTGTCAGACCTCGGCCTTGACACACAGCACATTCCACCAGAGCACACACAGTACCATGGGCCATGGGCCAGCAGGAGTGCCTCACTGTACTGGAAGCATCCCACAAGTCACCACCCAGCCCTTCCCCCCATCCTTCAACCTCCACCACTCCCCTTGACCTAGACACTACTAGAATCCTTCCCACCTCTCTGCTACTCTGATAGAGAAGCCGGGTGCTGGAGCAGCTAGGAAGGATAACTGGACATTGTACTCCTGGATTCTACTGTGGTTGCATCCTTGTGCAAGATAACCTTGGAGTCTCAGATTCTTTATTCATTGAGTGAAGATAATACCTGCCTCATATGGCTGGGAACAGCTTTTATTAATGCACAATTTCATCACACACTTGGATGCCCTGCAGTTACAGCTCCCAGTCACAGACTGCTCTCATCTTTGGGTTTCAAACCCTGACACCTGCTCTCCTCTCCTTCCTATCTGATTTGCTGCTGTGAGTTTTGGGGTCCCATTTACTTCCTAGCTTCAGATCATCAGTGTCTTGTTCCTCTTCCCCCACATGCTATACCCTTGACCCACTTTGTACTTCTGCAACCCAAGCTCTGGCATTGCCCTTGGTACTCACCATTTTGTTGTTGATCTCATGGAAATGGATCTCACACACTTTCTCCACAATGTCTTCGCTCTCAAATGTGACAAATCCAAACCCTGAAGAAAAAAGGGGAGGGGGAAGGCTCCTCATGGCAACTTCATTGCCTTCTTCCTGGGGTTGGCACTTGAGAAGCACCATTGAGAACCCTGCCCCACTCCTGCTCTACAAGAGCACTACAGCCATATCTTAGATTGCTCCACAATTCATAATGCAAAGGAGGGTCCCAAACCAGGTCTTACCCAATATGGGTCATTTTGAACAGATCTGATATCACTCAATGGCAGTTCATTATTTCATAATTAAACAAGCTCAGTGGGTCTTAGTTCAGTTTTCAATAGTCAGGGGCCTTCACAACCCTTGTAAAAAAGGTATTACTCTATGTTTTTCATCTCCTGATGGACATTAAGGACTAGTCCTTAATGTCCTGCATGTGCCAGCAAGTAGCAGGATTAGTTTTACAGAAAGGCTAAGTGATTTCCTTAAGTGCACACAGGAAGTCAATGCATAACAAGGAATACAAGTTTAGGATTCCCAGCTCCTAGTCTTGTGCTCAGGCTGCATCTCTCTCTAACCAACCCCACTGCTGACAATCTTGGGCTAAGGGACAAAGCATCAAAGGGCTCATGAAGTCCCAAAACCTCTCTCGCACCCAGAGGTGGTCCTTCCAGAGAAGAAATGAGGCATCAGCAAGGGACTCTGAATCAACCCATGTTGTAGCTGTCCAAGCTGTGGTTAGGTGGAGCTTCCAGTCTGCCAGTTGCCAGCTATGGCAATTCCACACTGCTAAAAATCACTTTAGTAAAAATACTTAAGTCTTTTCTGGGTGGTATTGTAAGAAGAGCCTCCTTCCGTGAACTTCTCCCGCCCACCACCAAAGCATTTTTATCATGTCTGCACAACAGCTCCACAACCACAATCCCAAGAAAGGTGACCTGGAAGCACAATTGGGCATCAGGGCTGAGGAAGAGTAAGAGTAAGAGGCAGTTACTTTGCCTCCCATGTCAGCTTCCCTGAGGCTCAGATTACTGAGGACAAGGTAAGACACACACAGACGACTGGAGCCACGTAGGTAACAGGGGAGGGAAGGAAGCCACCTCCTCTCACATATCTGCAACTCGGCATGTTTACAGCACAGGAAGTGGACTGGACAAAAGCTCTCTGTGCTGCGAGGGACTCTAGTAGAGGATGTGGAGGCTGAGGGATGGGGCGATGGGAGGCGAGATAGAGAGCAGCTGTGACCTGCCTGCCCTGCTCCTGGCAATGGGATACCAATTCTCCTAGCCCCCTTCCACCGCCTCCTCCAGCCCCACACATGCTCTGCTCCAGTCATTGGGCAAGCCCTTGCTAGATTCCACCGGTCCCCAACACCCCCCCCCCCCCCC